AAAAAAAAAAAAAAAAAAGAAAGGAACCATCAAGTAGGAAGGCATACACAAGGCCGATTTTGTGTGTACAGTATTTTCTGTTCTTAAATGGAAGGCAAGTCATTAAGTGCTTCGCAGGCCCCATAAGTTGGGTAATTTCAAACTCATTTGACAGCTGATAAAATGTAGTTGGGGAGGTTACATGAGTGGCACAACATCGCACAGCTGGTGACTGGCAGAGCTGGGGATTGAAGCCTGACTGCCTGGCCCGTGGACCTGCAGTCACCATATTCTGTTTTCCTGCTACAAGAGGCAAGCCAAGAGTGGGGTAGAATCTGGTGGGGGCTCCCTGAGGGCATCTGTGTAGGGCTCAGGAGGAGGACAGGATGCCCATCAGGAAGTACTGTGAAGCCAAGAGCAGCCAGGTGTAGTGGCACACGCCTGTAAGCCCAGCACTTGGGAGGCTCAGGCAGGAATGATATAGGACCTCTTAGCTAACTGAAGCTCAGGAAGCGGGGTCTGAGGTCCCTCCAAACCAACATACAGACCTACAATAAATGAATGCTACTACAAAGCAACATGCAAAACACAATAACCTGCGGCCTGGGGCTTGCTCGTGGCAGGTTCAGGAATGGGGTGAATGTCCAAGCTGAAGGTAGAATCGGGTGAGAGTCAGGAAGGACTTTCACACACAAAATTTTACACTAAATATCAGCAGGTTTGACATATTTTGATCCTACCTTTTGCTTCATGCAAACCTCAGAACTCATCTGCAGTTCTTGCTTTGTGCCGTGTGGCATGGGTTCAGGGCCCGGCAAACAGCAGGTGCTCAGTAATGCTGTGGATGAACAAAGGCAGGAATGCAGACCCAGGGTGGGGACGGAAACAGACACAGTGAAGACAGACCCCACAGCCTCCCACCCCTCTGATCTCATTTTTCAGACTATTCAACTGGAATGTTTGTAGATTTGAGAAAATCAATAGTGGCCATGGCTCTTCCTGGAGGCGTGACCTTCAAAGAACAAAGAAACCACTTGCTTTTGGATGGGCTGTGGAGCTTGTTATGGGAGAGTCTGGCTGGAGGCCTTTGGGGAATTTCTGCAGCCAGAGCAGCCACAGGTCTGGGCCAAAGCCTGCTGCAGATGAGGAGGAGAAACAGAGCCCTGGGGGCCTGGAGATGGTGAGATGGTCCTCCATGGCAGTGCCCAGGAGGCTTAACCCTTAAGGCAACTGCCTCTACACTTGTAGAAAGATGGAGCGCGGGAGTTTTGATACTATAAGCAGCTCAGGGTGGTCTGAAGGGGCTAGCCACCCCCTCTACCTGCTGGGGACAGCTTTCCTGCTCCCTGGGTCAGAACCAGTCCTGGCCACTGTCACCAGCTTCCTGCCCAGCAAAGGCTGGGTTGGAACCAGAGTCCCAGGTATCAGTGGTCAGAGCTGGAGGCCTATGTGTTCAGGGCACAAGACTGTCCTGGCCCTGGACCCACTGCCTGTCTTCCACCTGTGTGTACGTACCAGATTCATGTGGCCAGCCCTCACAATCCAGGCCACTTGCATCACCATGTACAACTCTGGACAAGTCCTGGACCGCTAGGTCCTGCACAAGAGGAATATGCAGGTCCCTCTGCCTGCTACGTGGAGGGGTTGTTGACCTAAGGTCATGTGGCTACAAAGTAAGTCAGGCTTTGAGCCTGGCATAAAACACAAAGGCACCTGGACATTCCCTCCTGAGCGGTAGAGGCCTGCAGAAGGAACCACATGGCTTTTCAAGAGCAGGGTCCTTCCAAGATCACACAGAAGGAACAAGAGGAGCATGGGGCTCAGTCATATCTGGGGTCCCTGCCTTTTACTAAGGCTTCTGTACTCAGTTTTAGGGCTCTCTGCAGTGTACACAGTCCTTGTGCTTTTAACTTCCCACCCTCACCCCACCCACCCAGAGCTAGGTCCCCCTGCTGGCTACCCTCCCCTGCCTCTCAGATGCTCAGACCTGGGTACTGTCTCTCCTTCTTTCCCCCGAGCCCTGCCCTCGCCTTTGAGAAACGAGAAGAGGGCTGGAGAAGTAGCTCAGTAGTCAAGCACTTGCCTAGTGCGGGCAAGGCCTTAAGTTCCATCTCCAACAAGAGAGATAGGGGGCTGGGTAGAAAGAGCCTGAGTTGCAGTTGGGCACCTGTGGGCAGGGCAGGGATGGGCATAGAGGCAAACAGTATGGAGGCACTAAGGTAGAAGGCAGCTGGGCCAGGCATGCAGAGGGGTCACTGTGGGACAGGGTGGGTAGTGGTAAAGCAAGAACAGGCCAGTCTCTGGGCAGGGCAGGGCAGGGCAGGGCAGGGCAGGGCAGGGCAGGGCAAGGCAGGGCCAGGCAGGGCAAGGCAGGGCCAGGTAGGTCGGCCACTGCTCCAGGGAGGGGATGAGCAAGTTTTCTTGCTTACCATTACCAGTCCCAGCCCTCTGGCCTTCCCTGAGTCACTGGTCCCTCACAGCCCAACTCCCTCCTGAAGGGCTATGGCAAAGCCCCAAGGTCAGGGGCAGGCAGGTCCACTCCCATGGACCCCATACGTCCTGCAGTTGGTACTGCCGGCACTTTCAGTTTTCCCAATAGGGCCTCATAACTCCATATGAGATCTCACAACAGCCAAAGAAGACCTATTTTTTTCCCAAATAGTTGAGCCAACTGAGTCCCAAAGCAGCTAAGCAAATTGCCCAAGGCCACCTGGCCAGAATGTCCAAAATTTTAGATGCAAAGCCAGCCTTGAGTCCCAGAACCCAACCTGCCTGTGTCCTAGCATTCCCCTGTGGAAGTGTGAACAGAACAAGCAGAACTTGGGTCTGTGATGGTCAATGTCTTTACTTCTAAAGCATACATTGGACTCACTATATATTAACATCAAAAGTGGCTACCTAGAATGGAGTCATTCTTTTTAAAAATCCAAATTCTCACATTTATATATAAGACCCAAAATTGACATGAAATTAAACTACAGTGTTATGAATAGTATAACAAACTGCTTTTAGAAAGCAAAATGAATGGAAAAACAGCAGTCGGGAACGTCAGAGCTTGGGTTCCATTCTTTTGAGGCATTATGACCAGGAGCCAGCACCAGGGGGAAAGGCCAGCCCCTCTCTGTGGCACAGAAGGGAACCCAGTCAAGTAGACGCGGTGGACGCAGCTGTTCAGATTCCACATGGTGAGAGAGGAAAGCTGGTGTCTTCTTGCCCCTTCGTCCCTTGGCGGGTGTACTGCTCAAGTCTTAAGACTAGGAGCAGATGGAGCCAGAAGAGGGCAGCAGCAGAGCTGGGTTCAAAATGATTCTGACGATAAAGCTTCTCTGGGTTGCAAGGAGGGCCCTAGCCATCAGCGATCTTGCTCAACTCTATTCACCTGACAGGCTCACCGCACACTGCATTCCTTAACCCACTTGTTCCTCTTCCTCCCCATGCCCTGGACGCATTCTGCCCCAAGAGACCTAGCAGAGACTCTAGGAATCTCCAAAGGAGAACACTCTGGGCATGGAAGTAGCTGGATGTTGTCCAGAGCCTAAGATCCCTAGGGTCCAGGCCAGCAGCCAGACTGATGGAGGGCTTGTATTCCCATGGGCTGGGAGGGCACTGTGGGGTCAGAGGCCATTCACCACCCTGGCACCTGGTCTGGGCCTTGAGGCAGGGCTGGGGCTGGCTGACTGGGACTACAACCCTGAGCCCCAGACACTTTGGTTCACACAATTTGTGGCGAGGACACTTGTGCATCTGCTGGGGGCATCATGGGCTTGGCCCATTACGTCTGAGCCCTGGAGGCCTCCCTGTCCCCACCTTTCACACTGCAGCCCTCTACCAGAGCTCAGAGCCACACGCAAAGGTAAGAGGGTGCTTCCAAAGCTACGGGATAAGCTCTCAGCACAAACAGGCTGCTCGTCTTCCTTCTCCCTAGACAGCACTGTCCCTGGTTGAGGGTATCACAGGAATGTCTGTGTCCCCACTTCTGGCTAGGCCGGCTCCTGTCCTGAACATCTCAACTGTCAGAAGCATAGGGAAACATCACCTTTGGCTAGGGCAGACAGATAGGTCTGTGGCTCCCCATCTGCCCTCCTCATCCCCTGGACTACACCACAAAACTGGCCTTCCTCCCTAAAGAGCAACTTGAAGGGATGCTCTGCACCGAGCCTACCTCTGGGGTGCAGGCCCTACCATAACCCTCCCCCCTCCCCCCATCTGATTTCTAACTAGGCTGGAAGCTTTGGGAAGGCTGGAGCCACTTGACTGTCAGTGGGATTCCAGTCCCCAGAGCTAAGGGAGGCTATTGGCTCAGGAGGGATTCCGGTGATGGGAAGTTTATGGAATCTGTATCTGCCTCTCCTCACGGGCAGGCTGGTGCCAAGAGTGCTTGGCACTACACACCTGCCCCCTCCCCAGAGCCCTTCTGTCCTCCTTCCCAGGGACTCAGAACACTGAGCTGGGTGGGGCCTCAGTGTGATGCAGCTGCAAGGAGGCTGAAAGGAGGCGTGGCTGGACTGGGCCCAGTGGGCCACAGGCTCTCAGGGCAGGCAGGCAGCCACCTGGTAGGCACCCTCAGCCGCTGCAGCTGCGGCACTGTGCTGGGCACTGTGCTCCTGCAGCAAGGCCACGTCCAGGAAGCGCTCTCCACACCACACACACTTGAACTGCTGCTCCCGGGCATGCACGCCCTGGTGCTTGTTGAGATGCTCACGCTGCTTGAAGGCCTTGTCACAGTTGGGGCACTTGTAGGGTTTCTCACCCGTGTGCACCCGGCGGTGGCGCTGCAGGTCTGAAGCATACTTAAAGCGCTTCTCGCAGTCCGGGCACTTGAGCGGCTTCTCACGTGCAGGGTCGCAGCGGTGCTGCACAAACTCTGAGGAAGAGAAGAAGCGGCGATCACAGAGCGTGCAGCGCAGGGGCTTCTCAGCCGAGGAGCAGTGCGTCAACTGGTGCTTCTGCAGGGCTGATGCCCGCTTGTAAGCCTTGTTGCATACAGGGCATTTGAAGGGCCTCTCGGTGGAGCCTGGCAAGCACTTGTGCCGCAGCAGCTCAGCCGACTGGTCAAAGCCCTTCTGGCATACGGGGCACTTGAAGAGAGTCTCGAGGGTGTGTACATGTTGGTGGTAGAGCAGGTGGCTGGGCTGTCCAAAGCCTTTCTCGCACAGGCCGCACTTGAAGGGCTCTTCGGTCTTGTGTGTGCGCCGGTGCCGCATGAGCGCGTACTGCTGCTTGAAGCCCATGGGGCACAGGTCGCACTTGAAGGGCCGCTCAGCGCTGTGTGTGCGCTCGTGCTGCCGCAGGTCCGACGGCCGCTTGAAGGCCTTCTGGCACTCGCCGCAGCGGAAGGGCCGCTCACCACTCGGGGTGCAAGGGTGCTGCAGCAGTTCCGACGACTCTTTGAAGTGCAGCTCGCACACGTTGCAGCGGAACAAGTGGTGCTCCCCCGAGTGAGCATACATGTGGCGCACCAGGTGAGAGCGGTGCTTGAAGGTCTTCTCACACACCGCGCACTTGTAGGGGCGCTCCGAGCTGTGTGTGCGCTTGTGGTGCACCAGGTGAGACGACTGGCTGAAGCTCTTGTCACACAGCGTACATTTGTATGGCTTCTCACCAGTGTGGATCCGCTCGTGGCGAGAGAGCTCCGAGAGGTGCTTGAAGGGCTTCTGGCAGATGGGGCAGCTATAGGGCTTTTCGGGTTGTTCTGCAGGGGCTACAGCAGGAGGTGGGGGCGCAGGGGGAAGTGAAGGGCCGGCAGTGGCGGCTGGCTCAGCGGCCTCCGCTGGCTTATAGGTCTTCTCACAGATGGAGCACTTCACAAGGCCAGTATGGGCGCTGTGGTGCTGCGCCAGGGAGGTGAGCAGAGAGAAGCCCATCTTGCAGACCCCACAGACAAAAGGCTTCTGCTCCGCCTGCACACACTGGTGCTCCAGCAGGTCTGTGGCCTGGTGGAAGATCTTGAGGCACTGGGTGCACTGGAACGAGCGGTCATGACCCGCCAGGCACTGGTGCTCATGTGGGCTGGAAAGGTGTGCCAGGTCATGACCACACACCCCGCATTTGGGGCCCTGCTCGCCGGCTGCCTGGAGGGGTGCATGTTGTGGGGGCTGCAGGCCTGGGTCCGGCTGCAGGAGGATGCCATAGACAGCACAGCCCAGGGGGTTCTCAGCCGTGCCTGGGGGCAGTGTGTGTTCCGCCAGGGCCGGTGGTGGTTCTGCATGGTGCTGAGGCTGAGGTGGCTGCGGCTGCTGCGGCTGCGTCTGTGGTGGCTGCTGCCAGGTTTCTGACATGCTTGGAAAGATGAAACAAGGCTTGGAGAGTAATGGCTTCAGTTTCCCGCTTATGGTGACCCAACCCAGAGAGAGAAGCTGCCCGATCTCAGGGACGGACAAAGACCTCAATAAGGCACAGAAAAGGATGCGTCAGACAGCCCCAGTCATTAACCAAAAAGACAGACTATAAGGCTGTGTCTACAGGACGGGGCTCTTCAAGGCAAGGTCCTTTCCTCTGCCTTCCAGGAGATCGGTTCTGTAAAGAAGAGAGAGATCGTGAGCTGGAGAGAAAACCAAGCAGCCCTTCCCTGGGTCCTCTCCCCATGTTGGCTGCACCTGTCACATGGACACAGACCACATCAGGGCTGGGAGACCTGCTTCCCCCCCATGCCACCAAAGAAGTCTGCTGGACGCGCAGCATCTCCACTCCTCCCACCTCAGTTCCCCATCCCTGGTCCAGGGCATCCCCTCTAGCTTCCTGCCAACTCTCCTCAGACAAGTGTCTCACAGGACAGTATCCAGGTAATCTGTCCATAGTGCCAAGGTCTCCCTCACTCCTCCATCTGTCCAAATCCAGGACACTCACCACTGCTCAGAGAATCAGCCTGTTGATCAAAGAGACCATATCTAACCATCTGAGAGCTCAAAGGCAAGAGGCCTCGGGCAGTCAATATTAGGACAACTCTGTGGAACCAAAGCCCACCTCAAAAACACTTCCTGTGAGAGCATGGCCCACACCTCCTGAACCTATCCCCAGACCCTCCACCCCAGCCACATCCCTATTTCTCTACCTACATCCATCACCAGGATGGATGGCCCTGCAGGGACCTGAACCCATGGGTAATATGGGGGTTAGATGACAGGTTCACAGACCCACCCAACCTTGATGCCTGTGCAGCAGAACTTCCTCACTTTAATCGTGTTCTACAGCATCACAAAATACTAAACCCTCTGCAGGTCTCTGTCAAGGTCCGCAGGAAAATTAAGAAACTGCATTGGTTTACTTCCACAAATGTACGATGTAGCATACTAAAAACAGACATTTCTTCTCATCTCCTCTCTGGAGACAGTCCATTCCCTTATTCCAGATCTACAAGCTCCTGGGTAATCAATGGAAGATAAGGCTCATTCAGCCAGCCCAGGCAAATCTCTAACTCACCACTCTGTGGCAGCATAAAGTAATGCCAGAGAGAGGAAGGAACTTTTAGTTACAGGCAACGCACTTCTAGATTCCCAGCTCATCTACCTCTTACATTTAAAAAGGTTTTAAGTTTTCTCCTAAGAGGAGGAAGGATAGAAGATGCCTTCAGACCTTGCTGGCTTCCGAGAGTTTTGGCAAAAAAACATTAAAAGTCAAGCTAAAAGTTGTCCTTCTCTGCATCTTCCAGGAGGGGAGGAAGGAAGGGGGCAACCGTTCTTGCTGGAGGCAGCAAGCAGGGTGTACGAGCCAGCAAGCACCGCTCGGTGACCTCAGCTTTCCTAGAGCGCGAAGGGGAAAGGAGGGCTGCTCTGAGCACCGGCTAGGTGTGGCTGTGCCAGTCCAGCTGTGTGTTTTTCCTGGCGTGAATGGCTGCCAGATCCAGCCCCCACTCCACAGCCGCAACCCCACTGCCCACCCTGGCTCCCCTCCAAGAAGGTGCCGCCAGGAACCTCTGGGATCAATCTGTACAGGGGAGGGGTAGGACAACAAGGGGAGGCCCCACCTGCGCCCCACCCCAGCCCTCCTCTTCCCCGGGAAACCAAGCGAAAGCCGATCGCCTCCCACGGCGCTGCCGGCCGGCCCAGCTGGGCTGCCTCCTGTCAGCCCTCGCGCTGGACGGCCGGGCCACTGCGGCCCGAGAGTGAATGGCTGAGCCCGAGGAAGGCCCTAGGGCCGCAGGCCGAGCCCGGGGAGCCGCTGCGCGTCGAGGCCGGGCCTGGGCCGCTCGGGAGCTCAGGAGGCCCCGGGGTCAGGGCGGGAGGCAGCAGGGCCGGTGGGGAGAGGGTGCCGCGGGCACGGGAGTGGCCCCCAGACACCGCCCCGGGCGCCCCGCCGCTCACCTGCTCCAGGCCGCCCGCAGGGCCAGGCGCGGGGCAAGCGGCGACCAGCTGCTCTCTCGGCCGCCCCTTTATTCCGGCTCCATCAGCGGCGGCGCGGCCTACGCTCGCTGCCAATCCTCGGCCTAGCGTGGCGGCGGCGG